ATCGGCTGACTAAAACGGCACAATTCGCAGCCTGGTACAAATCGATCACAACCCAAAAAACAGCCCGCCTCTTCATCTTCACCATCGTTCGGCTGCACAGGATAACAGCACCAATCATCATCGACCGCGACACGAAATTCACCAGCAACTTCTGGCGGAACCTGTGGCAACAGTTCGGCACGCGACTACAGTTTAGTTCTTCGTACCACCTCGAGACTGACGGATAGACGTAACGGACAAACCAGACCATGGAGCAAGTTCTTCGAGCCATGTGCGACGACCCGACCACCTGGGAACAGCAGCTGCCACTCATCGAGTTCGCATACAACAACTCACCATCCATCGCGACCCAACAGTCACCATTTTACCTGAACGACGGACAAGACCCCACTGTGAAAGTCTAAGAGTGAACGAGAATGATGTAGTTAGATGCTAGGTTTAACTAGGGCCTAGGCTTAGTAGCCTAGGCCCAAGGAGGATGTCGAGTAGGTTGTGCCAAGGCAAGGGTGTCAAGAAAGTTGGGAAAATGGTGTTGTTCATTATAGCAAGAGAGTACATATAGCAAACAAGTGAAGAAAGAGGTGCACCACCTATAAAGTTCATATCTACACTACAGCTAGAACTACATGCAGGTATAAGAATATAATTCTGACACTCCCCCATAACTGCATGCAGGAATAGCTAAGTGCAAAACACAACCTGCTGGGGTACACCACATACTAATAAAACAAGCAACAGCAGGTACGGTAAATGAGCAGGTGCAGTAGGTCTAAAGCAAGAAATTCCTGCCACCCCCTTACCCTCTCCCCCCCCCCAAACCACAGGAGGGGAAGGAGCTGGTCACCCACTCCATCTCCTCACCCTCCTCCTTCCCCTCCCCCACACTGCTGCAGGAGCAGCAGAGGGGGGGGGAAGAGAGGAGAGGTGGAGGGACGGCTGCTGGTTGCCTCACACCCGCCACCCCGGTGCCACTCCCCCTGCTCCCCCACACCCTCACACCCTCCCACCTAGCGGCAGCTGCAGCAGTGGGAACGAAAGGAGGAGGAGGGGAAGGGAAGCTCTCTACCCAACACTCCAACACCCGCCACCCCCATACCCTCCCCCCCACGGCTGCAGGGAGACGAAGGAGGAGGGGGTGGGCGAGAAGAAAGCCGCAGAGCGGCTAAATAGGGTCGGCGCACGTAGGTCAAGGGCGGCTGCAGGGAGTGCAGGTGCGGAGAGCACCGTCGCGTGCCACGCGGCGCACGACGGGCAAGTTCAAGTTTAGAGCACCGTCGTGTGCCTCGGGGCGCACGACGAGCAGGGCACCGTCGCGTGCCACGGGGCGCACGACGGGCAAGTTTAAGGCACCGTTGCGTGCCACGGGGCGCGCGACGTGCAGAGAAGGTGTCACTCGCCACCCGGGGGCGGGACAAGACGAAAATCGCCACGCGCCCTAGGCGCGCGACCGGAAAAATAGCAGCGGAATCATAAGGCGGGCCCACAGGCCAGGACGAAACACGCTCTGAATCCATGTGAAAATCTAAGAGTGAACGAGAATGATGTAGTTAGATGCTGGGTTTAACTAGGGCCTAGGCTTAGTAGCCTAGGCCCAAGGAGGATGTCGAGTAGGTTGTGCCAAGGCAAGGGTGTCAAGAAAGTTGGGAAAATGGTGTTTTTCACTATAGCAAGAGAGTACATATAGCAAACAAGTGAAGAAAGAGGTGCACCACCTATAAAGTTCATATCTACACTACAGCTAGAACTACATGCAGGTATAAGAATATAATTCTGACACCCACAGTACCCATGACCCCAAATCTCAAAAATCCGGTGCTACGCGCGCAACAGTTCGCCGTAATTTTGCAAGCAGCAGACGCAATAGAATTATCGAACATCATCACTAAACGCAACGCCAATCGCCACTGCCGACCTGTCACTTACCAGCCCGACGACCTAGTTTTACTCGACACCCAGAACCTCCGCCTGCCCATCACCCCAAAACTTAACCCCCGAAATTGCGGGCCATTTCGCATAAGCCATATGATCACACCCTTCACCGCCCACCTCCTCCTCCCTGCTGACTGGTACGTCAGCCCGTCCTTCCACGTCATCCTGCTTCGTCCTTACGTACCATCCACCAGCCAACTGCCTCGCAACCGCCCCGCCAGCATGACACGACCGCCGACCGAGCCAATCATCACGCATTCTGATTGTACCCTTGCTTCGATAGTGCAATTCTCGTTCGTTCACTCAATTGCACTCGTAAAAGACATATTTGTCAGGTACAAGCAAAATAATCGTGAACATTGTGTGTGCGGCGAGTTCACCCAGCTTCGCCAGATCTACTGCCTCATCGGGATCGTCGCTAGGGTAGCCATCATCTTCCATCTCCTTCGCTTCAGCGTCGCTTGCACGGAGCTTTCCGCAACAGGCGGCTTTATGACCTTATCCGCTCCACTTGCGTTATTTCCCTTGTCTCCCTCCTTCGTGGCGTCAACATTCGCAGGTGCAGTGTTCAACAGTTCTTCGAAGGGTCCGACTGTCCTTTTGGTGATTAAGGACGGCGACTCAACCAGCGGGCCCATCACCAGCGACGAGCGTACCGGCATCCTTGGAGAGGCGTGCTCAGTCGGCGCACCCTTGGCAGTCACTACAGCAGCGGTTGTGTTGGAAGCCATTGTGCAATGATGATAGTTGGCTCGAAAACAACAGCCTTTGGCTTATAATGGGCCGAGTCTGAGCACCATTTTCCTTTTGAACTTCTTCTTGTGATACCTGAAAAGCGATAGAATTTGATCTTGGCCTTGGTTGTTGTTGCTCCTTGATATTGCCTTGCTTGATGAGACTGATAGCAGGCGCGCTGAAGCCTTGAAATGCTCATCGCGCAAGCTCTCTGTTGTAGATTCAATGGCTACAGTGTACAAATGAGGACTAGACACCTGGTTACCTTGACTAACAATGCTAGACGAAATACCTGCTGTGTAGGTACAATTTCTATGTCTAATTATGTGCTTAAAACCAGACATTGATAGTGCTGCGATTAGATGTCGATCGCTGCCGGGATCTACTCGGGAAGGTTCACACACTGAGAAGTAGAGTTGATGGGCCCTTGACCTCAATAGCATAGTGAATGTAAAATGCTTTGAGATGATTAAAACATGAGTACAGGGAAGACGAAACGACCTAGCCAGCCATGTACTCTAAGGGGTACATTCCCTTATTCAAATTCATTCCCAACCGTGCGGCGCGTACAGTTACGAAACTGTTCCCGCTGAAATCACTTTGCCTGCAGCTGCCCGATGCCGTATGCTTCGACGGTCCAGATGCTCCTTAACCGTCTGACGCTTCGAGTCGACTCTGACTCTTTGTGTTCGTTCTGGATACTACATGCTTCTCTTGCTGCGGTGCGGAGTGCACAGTAATAATCAAATATTACTCTTCGTAACACCCCCCTTCACTCCTAGCCGTAGCTCGACTTGACCTGCTTGACCACGCCGCTGAGTTCGGAGTGTCAAAGATTATATATGTTATTGTTGTGTAGGCTATAGTGGGTTAGCCTCTAAGGGGTACATCATTCTAGGGTTTGCTAATGGTATCACCCATTGTTCATAGTTCATTCACTTGTTGATTCTGACATGGTATTAAGAGCGTAGGTCCTAGCCCTAGGACCACTTACCTAAGGGCCCATCATTCCGCTAGTTGTGCCCTCGTGCGCCTTCTCCTAATCGCGCCCTCGTGTGCCTCACGCCTAGTGCGCCCTCGAGCGCCCCGCTTTTCCGGCCGCGTCGCCCACTAGTCGCTCGCGCGGCCCGTTTTTTGCCCGCGTAGCCCGCTAGCCGCCCGCGCGCGGCCCCTTTTGTGAGCGCGCGCCCACCCCTAGCCGCCCGTGCGACTGGCGCCGCCCACGAGCAGCCCCTAGCCACCCGTCGACCGCCGCCTAGAGCGTCGCAGCCACGCCCGTAGGCCGCCACGACGCCCTCTCTAGGCCGCCGCCCACGCGCTAGTCAGGCCCAAGCGCAGCCACGGCCCGCCCGCTACAGCCGCCCACGAGCATGCCCCCAGCCGCGCACCGCCGCGTAGCCCAGCCCGGGCCGAGCCGCACCGCCCGAACCAAGCCGCGCCGCCCGAACCGAGTTGCGCCGCCCGAACCGAGCCGCGCCGCCCGAACCGAGCCGCGCCGCCCTACTGTGCCCCACCTGCAGCGACTCCTGCTCCTGTTCCTAGCATACTACTGCTACTATTACTACTGTTCCTACTGCCACTATGGCCACTCCCTCTATTCTCACCTTTGACGCTGAGGGCCGCCCGATTAAGTTTGAGGTTTGGTTAGATGACCTCCACCTGTTCCTCCAGATCACTGCCAAGGACGATGTCTCCCTGTACGACCACACGTAAGGCGCTGCTCCCGCACCTCCCGCTACTGCTGACAGTACTGCTCGCTCCCAGTGGCAGACCCGTGATGCTCACGCTCGCCTAGCCGTTTGCAGCCACCTGCCGTTAGATGAGCGCGAGCACTTACTGAGGCACTACACACCTTCACACTGGACTCAGGTGCTTCCCGCTGTTTCTTTCGTGACCGCACTGCCCTAGAGCAGCTTCCTAGACCCGTTGCTGTCTCTCTGGCTGACCCCTTTGGGGGTCCGGTCCTTGCGACCTCCACCACTGCCCTCCCTTATCCTGCTGTCCCGTCTGGCACGCTGTCGGGCCTCTACCTCCCCTTGTTCTCTACGAACTTGGTGGCAGGGTCCGCGCTCCAGGACGCGAGTGCTCACCAGTTCACCCCTGCCTACGAGCGTGTGACGCACTGCACGTGTGCCCGGACGGGTCGTCACCTGGCTATCTTCACTCGGCAGCCGGGGTCGGACTTGTACACACTGACCACTGAGTCCCCTCAGGTAGCTGCGTCTGCGTCTGCGTCAGGTCAGCTGTCGGCCCCCTACTCGGGTCGTTCCCTGTCGCACAGGACTGTCATCTGGCACCACCGCCTTGGTCACCCGTCAGTGCAGCGCCTTCGCGGCATGCACTCAAGGTACCTTGTCTCTGGTCTTCCCAGAGTTCTTCCTCCCTTGCCACCCTCGCCTGCTCCTCCCTGTCTTCCCTGTATCGAGGGGCGGCAGCGCGCCGCTCCTCACTCCTCCTCGTTCCCTCCCACAGAGGCTCCCCTGCGGACTCTCCACCTGGACGTATGGGGCCCCGCCCGCGTCCGGGGACAGGGCCACGAGCGGTACTTTCTGCTGGTCGTCGACGACTACACGCGCTACACCACGGTCTTCCCCTTCTGTACCAAGGGTGAGGTCCCTGATGTCTGGATCCCCTGGATCCGCGCTGCTCGTCTCCAGCTCCGCCAGCGGTTCCAGTCGGACTTTCCTGTCCTACGTCTGCACTCTGACAGAGGTGGCGAGTTTTCCTCTGACCACTTGGCAGCCTACTGTGCGGAGCACGGCATCCGCCAGACGTTCACTCTCCCGGCCTCTCCGCAGCAGAATGGGGTTGCTGAGCGCCGCATTGGTCTTGTCATGGAGGTCGCTCGTACCTCCATGATCTATGCGGCTGCCTCCCATTTCCTGTGGCCGTTTGCAGTGCAATACGCCGCGCATCAACTCAACCTCTGGCCCCGTGTCTCCGTTCCGGAGACCTCGCCCACCCTGCGTTGGACGGGGGAGGTTGGTGAAGCGTCGGTATTCCGCGTCTGGGGATGTCGAGCTTTTGTCCGCGATACGTCCGCGGACAAGCTCTCCTCCCGTGCCGTTCCCTGTGTCTTCCTTGGCTTTGTCCTTGACGCGCCTGGCTGGCAGTTTTACCACCCCACCTCGCGTCATGTCTTCGCCTCTCAGGACGTCACCTTTGACGAGTCGGTACCCTTTTACCGTCTCTTCCCCTACCGCACTGCCCCGCTCCCCCCCCCCCCCCCGCCACTCTTCCTCACCCCAGGTGTCCCGTTGGTAGACCCCCTCCCTCCCTAGGGTGCTGCTCCCTCAGGTGTTTCCCAGGTAGACCCGGTCGAGCCTGTCGAGGTAGCTGTTGACTCTAGTCCTGCGCGAGGTACTGAGCGTGCTGAGCCTGGTGGTGCTGGGTGTGGGGGCACTGAGCCTGGGGGTGCTGAGCCTGGGAGTGCGGAGACTGGGGGTGCTGAGCCTAGGGGTGCAGAGACTGCGGGTGCTGAGCTTGGGGGTGTGGTGACTGGGGGTGCTGAGTCTGGGGGTGCTAAGACTGGGGGTGCTGAGACTGGGGGTGTTGAGCCTGGTGGCACTCCCTCTTCGCAGCAGCTGCGTGAGTGGTACTCCCAGCGCTACAGCTTCCGTCATGGGGCTCCTTGAGCTGGGGGGTCTGCTGGAGTCGGGGCTGGTGGCCCCGCAGGTGCAGTGCGGCAACCAGAGCCTCCCTCCCCTCAGCAGCTACGTGAGTGGTACGCTCGGTGCTGCAGCCTCACGAGAGGAGCTCCTGGTGTTGAGGTACCGCCGGCTGGAGGCGCTGCTGGTGCTGGTTCAGCTAGTGGTTCTGGTGCTACAGGAGGTGGTGCTGGTGCTGCTGGCGGTTCTGGAGCTGCTGGAGGTGCTGCCGGTGCTGCAGGAGGCTCTGGAGCTGCTGGAGGTGCTGCTGGTGCTGGTTCAGCTGGTGGTTCAGGTGCTGTCTCTGCTGCTTCTGGGGGCACTTCGCGGCTGCGGCCGTACTTCGTTCCGCTCCTTCAACAGGTTCTTGGTCTGCCGCCTCCTCCTAGTCCTCCTCCCTCCTTAGAGTGTCCTCCGCCTGTGCAGTCGCAGTCCCAGCTCCCGCCTGCCTCGCCACTTCCTGGTCCTTCTCCCTACACTGGTCCTACAGGCGGTCTTACCGAGCGTTGTGAGCCTGAGTCTCGTCCTGTGTCGCCTGTTTCTCGTCCTATGTCACCTGTTCGTGCTGCTCGCACTGGACGTCATGGTCACCGTGAGCGTCCTCCACCTGTGCCTGGCACAAACTTTATGACTCTGCGTCCTTCCACTGCTCCACAGCGTGTCCCTTTGCCGTCTCCTACTGAGTCCTCTCTTCCTATCCTTGCTGACCCGGAGTCTGACTCTCTTCGTGCTGCTAGTCCTACAGCCACGCGTCTCCTGGCCACTGCTGTCACTGACCCTTCCTTTGAGTCTGCTGCTGCGTCTGCCCTAGTTGCTGAGCTTCTGGACTTTGTTGCTCACTGTCATCTAGACTACGCTGCGAGTCTTGTTGCTGAGTCTGAGTCTGTCTGTCCTCCGTCCGTCGGGGGTGAGTGTGCTCTAGGCACTGACGTCCTTGAGGATAGACAAGAGGACCTTGAGTGTCTTGCAGCCGCTGCGCCTCATCTCGTGTCCATGCTGATTGCCCCTGAGGGAGACCCGGATGCTCCAGACATCCCGACTCCGCGCTCTTACGCTGAGGCGATCGCGGGTGAGTACTCCTCTCAGTGGCTGATAGCTATGGACGCAGAGATGGCATCCTGGAAGTCCACAGGCACTTACGTCGACGAGGTTCCCCCTCCTAGGGCGAACATCGTCAGTGGCATGTGGATTTTCAGGGTGAAGCGGCCGCCGGGTTCTCCACCTGTCTTCAAGGCTCGTTACGTCGCTCGAGGCTTCAGTCAGCGAGAGGGAGTAGACTTCTTTCTGACGTTCTCCCCCACCCCGAAGATGACCACTCTTCGGGTGCTACTGCACGTTGCTGCTCAGCGTGACTACGAGCTTCACTCTCTTGACTTCAGCACAGCTTTCTTGCAGGGCACCCTGCACGAGGAGATCTGGCTGCGCCGCCCTCCTGGCTTCACTGGGTTGTTTCCTCCCAGTACCCAGTGGAGCCTCCGGCGCCCGGTCTACGGTCTCCGCCAGGCGCCACGTGAGTGGCACGACACACTGAGGACTACTCTTGCGGCACTTGGGTTCGCGCCTTCTACTGCTGACCCGTCGCTGTTTCTACGCACCGACACTTCACTGCCGCCGTTCTACATCCTCGTGTACGTCGATGACTTGGTCTTTGCCACTGCTGACACTGAGGCTCTCGCCCACGTGAAGTCGGAGCTGCAGAAGAGACACACGTGCACAGACCTGGGTGAACTGCGCAGCTACCTTGGCTTGCAGATCAACCGGGACAGAGCACGCCGCACCATCACACTGACTCATTCACACATGGTGCAGCAGGTCCTTCAGCGCTTCGGCTTCACCTGGTCCTTAACACAGGCTACTCCTATGGCTATAGGTCACTCTCTCTCAGCTCTGCCTTCGGATGAGTCCGTAGAGCCGAGTGGTCCTTACCCAGAGCTAGTTGGTTGCCTCAAATACCTGATGACTTGCACTCGTCGTGACCTAGCGTACCCTCTTGGCCTTTTGGCCCGCTACGTGGCTCCTGGCAGGCACCGAAAGGTGCACTGGGATGCTGCAAAGAGGGTATTGAGCTACTTGTGTAGTACATCGGGCATGGGGCTCGTGCTTGGAGGAGGGAGCTCAGTTGTTCTCATTGGGCACTCAGACGCTTCTTGGGTTGACGACCAGGCTACTCAGCGGTCGTCACAGGGTTACACCTTCAGCCTTGGCTCTAGCTCAGTTTCGTGGCGTTCTACGCGTTCGTCTTCAGTTCTCAGCTCCAGTTGTGAGGCTGAGATCTACGCCACAGCCATGGCTGCACAGGAGTTACACTGGCTCTCCTACCTGCTGACCGACCTAGGAGATCGGCCTCGTTCTCCTCCAGTGCTGTACGTCGACAACAAGGCGGCCATTGCATTGTGTCACGAGCACAGACTGGAGCACAGAACAAAGCACATCGCTCTACGTTACTTTCTGGCTCGAGAGCTGCAGCAGTGCGGTCAGCTTCGTCTGCGTTACGTGGCCACTTAGGCCAACACTACTGATATATTCACCAAGGCACTTCAGCCTGGTGATCATCAGCGCTTCTGTACTTTGTTAGGGCTTGTGCCCACTTTGCCTCACTTGCTGCAGACCTTGCCTGTAGTGTGATCTATATACTTATACCTGCATGCTTGTACTGCTAGGTAGAGATCACTTTGATGTTTGTGATGCATATTTGCCTCTGCATATGAACTGGCCTTGTGGCTCTTTGCTTGTGCTTAGTCTGTGTGGTGACTTTGTGATCCACCCTGAGCTTGCGTTCTCATTCTTGACTGGTCTTGTGACCCCTTGCTCTACCCCACTTAGCCTATGGGGGTGTGTCAAACATTATACATGTTATTGTTGTGTAGGCTATAGTGGGTTAGCCTCTAAGGGGTACATCATTCTAGGGTTTGCTACTTGTATCACCTATTGTTCATAGTTCATTCACTTGTTGATTCTGACACGGATTAGTGCTGGTACTGTTGGCATGGTAGTCGCTTGGTGAGATTGGTCCCGTTGGTTCGAGTCGGAATAGGAAGCCTGCCGTGGACCGTCGATTGTCGGGATCTGCTGCATGATCGGCGTCCACATAGCCGATGAGATTGAAGGATGGGGTTGGCGCAGTTGATTAGCACAGCCCAATCTTGGGCGTCGAAATGAAGAATTGCAGGGTGCGCTGCAGGTCATTCTCAGCCGTTGGTTTGCGTGAGTACTGGGCCAACTGGCTTGCGATGTAGGAGAGATCTGGCTTGCAGGTGACAGAGGCGAAGAGCAGGCATCCCAATTGCTGCTGGTAGGTCTGAACTCCAGCAGGGGATAGGGCTTTGTTGTTTGGCTTGTGGTTCGGTCCAAGGGTTCGGTAGGGAGTTGAAAGGGGTGCAGGTGAAATGTTGAACCGCTTCCCTAACTCCTCTGCGTAATTAGCTGCTGAAAGGTGAATGGCTTCAGGAGCGTAGGAGATGTTGAGGCCTAAGAACTGCTTCACCTCGTAGTTGTATGTGATGTTAACGCGCCCCACCAAAGCTTTCTCGAACTGCTCTAGTAGCTCGTTGTTTGAGCTTGTGTAGACCAGGTCGTCGACGTAAACCGTGGGAATAATGTATTTGCCGCGGAAGCCGCGGCGGTACATCCCTGGATCGTGGGGCATCTGCTTGAACCCGATTTCAAGCAGGATGTTGTGTAAGTATTGCTACCACAACCTCGGCGCCTGCTTGATCCCGTAGAGCGACTTGCGCAGCTGGCACACGCACGAGTCCCCTTTGCCGTATGTGTGCAGCTGCTCCACGTAGATCACGGCGTCCACTAACGCGTACAGGAACGCGTTCTTCACGTCAATCTGGCGGAGTGGCAGGTGCCTTGCAGCCGCGATTCCGTGCAAGGTTCGAACGGAAGTGTGGCGGCTGACTGGAGCGAACGTCTCGTCGAAGTCGACGCCATGCCTCTGGTCATAGCCACGCACCACCCAACGCGCCTTAAAGCGCTCGATCGTCCCATCCGTTGCGGTCTTTACGCGGAAGACCCACTTCCCCGAGAGGATCCTTGCGTCTTTGATTGCCGCATGGTCGACCAACACCCAGGTGTCTCGGGACTCAAGCGCCTTAATTTCCGCGTCCATCGCATCGCGCCATTCCTTGCTATGTGGTACAGAGAGAGCCTCACGCGGGTTTCGGGGCTCGGCGACACATGGCGCCTTTGAGGTTGCGGTGTGAAGCCCGAGCAGTTGTAGTCCTGAAACGGTGCTGTCGTGGCGACGTTGCGGGATGACTTCCTACACAACGTCGTCATCGCTTTCTGGTTCAGGTGGCGCTGGTGGTGCTGCACCTCTGCCGCTTCCGCCTGTTCCGCCCATTCCTCCTCCCGAGGAATCGTCGTCGTCGTCGTCACTGCTGCGCCGAACTTCCCATGTAAACTCACCCCTAGTATCCTGCTCCAAAATTGTTGCAGCAGCTTCATCTTCGGGTGTTGCGTAGCTGTGCCCATTATTTGCGTAAACGCAGTTTGCGTTCATCTGCTCGTCGTGGCGGAACTGGTCGAGGAAGAGGCGCTCGTAGAAAATTACGTCGCGAGCATGGGTAATCTTCTGACTGCGTAGGTCCAGCACGATCCACGCCTTGTACTCGTGGCTGATGCCGAGGTGAATACCCCAGCGTGCGCGGCTCGCGAATTTGCCGATGGTTCACGTCGGCGGGCGGTATTGTACCATGCACCCCCATACGCGGAGCATGGACGTGTCCCCCTTGGTCTCGGTCCACTTGATGTGTGGGCACAAGTTGCCGGTGATGGCGGTGGTTGACAGCAGGTTGTGCACCCGCACGGCGTGGTGCATCGCGTAGGTCCAGTAGGTAGGAGGCAGCTTTGACTGCTTCATCAGTGCCCGCACCTTTGTCATCAGCGTGCGGTTTGTCCGCTCAGCTACGCCCTGCTGCTGGTGCGCGTAGGGGAGAGAAATATGATGCTCGATCCCCTTTTGCGTCAGGTAAGTCTGCATCCGGTTGCTCCTGAATTCTGCCGCGCCGTCAGATTGCCAAATTTTCAACTTCTCCCCGGACTGCCGCTGCGCGTGCGCGAGCCAGAGGCGGAACACTTCGTAGGCTCTATCGCGGGATTCGACGTTCACGACCCACACATAGCGCGTTCCTGCGTCGATGAAGGTAAGCGTGTACATTCCGTTGTCGACTCCGCAGTGCCCCACGTTTAGGAAGTCGTTGTACACCATGTGCAGCTTGGGGTAGCGGTTTGTCCCAGGCTCAAGCAGCGGGAACGGTTGGTGGTTCAGCGCAGATTCGGGGTAGACACTGCAGTTGCGCGGGTCTATCGCGCCTCTCACTTCAGTGCCATCAGGGCGCAGGAGTGCGCCAGGAGCGAAGACGCCTGCGTCGATGCAGTTTTTCAGCGTCGCGCGTGAAGGGTGTCCGAGGCGTTGGTGTCAGAACATTATAGCTTATGCTTTTGTGTAGGCTATAGTGGGGTATCCCATAGGGGGTACAACCCAATTAGGGTTAGTACTTGTACCCACTTCACTCATAGTTCATTCATTCTCGTTCTCATTCTCACATGGAATCAGAGCAGGTCCCCTCCTAGGGACTGTTTCTTGGGCCCACCGAAGCGCGCCCCGAGGCGCGCGTTTTTTTAAGCGACCCGTCGTGTCGCCCCCCCCCCCCCCCCCCCCCCCAGCGGCCCGTCGCGCCGCCTTTCGGTCGCGGCCCCGCCGCCCTACTCTCGCGGCCCCGCTGCCCTACGTCGCGGCCCCGACGCCCTACCCTTCGACGACGCCGCCGCCCTACGTCGCGGCCCCACCGCCCTACTTCGACGGCCCCGCCGCCCTACGTCACGGCCCTGCCGCCCTACCCTACGTTGCGGCCCCGCCGCCCTACCCTTCGACGGCGCCGCCGCCCTACGTCGCGGCCCCGCCGCCCTACGTTGCGGCCCCGCCGCCCTACTTTGACGACCCCGCCGCCCTACGTCGAGGCCCCGCCGCCCTACCCTACTTCGCGGCCCCGCCGCCCTACGTTGCGGCCCCGCCGCCCTACCCTCCATCGACGGCCCCGCCGCCCTACTTTGCGGCCCCCGCCGCCCTACTCGACGGCCCCGCCGTACTACGTCACGGCCCCGCCGCCCTACTCAGCGGCCCGCCAGACGCCCTACCTGCGGCACGCCTGCCGCCCAGCCGCTGAGCCGCCGAGCCGAAAAGCAGCCGACCGCCGAGCCGCCGAGCCGCCCAGCAGCCGAGCCGTCCAACACCCAAGCTGCCGAGCCGCCGAGCCGCCCAGCAGCCAAGCAGCCCAGCCGCCGAGCCGCCCAGCAGCCGAGCCGCCCCGCAGCCGAGCCGCCGGCCGCTGAGCTGCCCTACTTCCATACCGCCCGTTCTGCCCAGTCTGGTGAGCACATAGACTTTTTTTTTTCACTGCGCTGCCCTCACCCTACTGCTTGCACTGCTAGGCATCTGTCGTCATGGCTACCCCCAGTGTCCTCGCTTTTGACGCTGAGGGTCGGGCCATTGACTTTGAGGTCTGGGTAGACGACCTCCAGCTGTTCTTACAGTGCAATAGGGCAAACGGCCTCTCTCTCTTTGACTTTACCTCTGGCGCTTCCCTTGCCCCTGCTGCTGATGCTGACCCTACTGTTCGCTCCCAGTGGGCTACGCGCGATGCTGCTGCACGTCTTGCTGTACGTCGCCACCTCCCTACCTCTGAGTGTGCGCACTTTAGTCAGTACAAGAGTGCTCAGACCTTGTACGACGCTGTAGTTGCGCGCTACTCCTCCCCTGCAACTGGTGCACTAAGCCGCCTCATGCTACCCTTCCTCTTCCCTGACCTTGCCGCCTTTCCCACAGTCGCTGATCTCATTACCCATCTCCGCACTAGTGCCACCCGCTACCGCGCTGCGCTTCCTGCTGACTTCTGCGCCAAGAACCCCCCCCCCCCCCCCCCATGTACATCACTCTCTACTTTCTAGTCACCTGCCTCCCCGACTCCCTTTGTGTAGTCCGGGACCACTTCATCGCGATCTGTCCCACCACTCTCACAGTCGACAGCCTAGAGAAGGCCCTCCTAGCGGCGGAGAAGAGCATCGTCGCTGTAGGAGCCTCTCGAGGTGACCCCCGCGCCCCCATCTTTGAGGGGTGTTCTCCTTCCCCTCTCTTGCCCTCTGTCGCCTCTGCCGCTGCGGCCGACCTCGTTGGTCTTGAGTCGGTCGGTGCGGCATCTGCCCCTAGCGGGAGACGTCGCCCTGGCAAGGGCAAGGGGGGCAAGGGAGCGGGTGGGGCTAGCGGGGGCGGTGGCGGTGGAGGTGGAGGCGGCGGAGGGAGTGGGGGTGGCGGTGGAGGAGGTGGCGGGGGTGGGGATGCTAATGGCAGCAGTGGTGGCGGAGGCGGCGTCGGCGGCGGCGGTATTGGCGGGGGTGGCGGCGGTGGCGGAGGTGGAGGAGGTGGAGGAGGAGGTGGTGGAGGTGGTCGGAGTGGCACTTCACAGCGGAGCGGCACTGGGGGTGGTCAGCGCCAGCAGCAG